AAGAAAATTTCCCAATCGCATAGTACCTGGACGTCGAATGTTTACTGATATTCACCGGAATTTGTCAAACCATGGAAGTTTTCAGCGCATGCAGGGCTCAGGAAGGCCACTGGGAAATCATCGTATGGATATTGCTTTAAATATGTTTGAAAATAATCCGCAAATAAGCATACGAAATGTTTCAGAAATTATGGATAGACCTCGATCAATAGTAAGAAAAATTTATGAATACCTATTTGATAGTTATCCTAAAAATAATAATTTTATATAGAATGACAAGAATGCAAAGATTACATCCTTATCATTTTAAACGGGTGCAGCATTTAACTGAGGCAGATTTTTTACCACCAATCGAGTTTTGCCAGTGGATATTAGCAAATGAAAACACTATTCCTAGAATATTATGATCGGATGAGTCAAAATTTACTAGGAATGGTGTTTTTAATTTCCATAACATGCATCACTGGTCAGATGAAGATCCAAAAGTTGTTCGCCGTACAAATTTCCAACAGATTTTCATTGAACTTATGGGCAGGAGTAATAGGGGATCAAGAAATTGGGCCTATTGTACTTCCCAATCGTCTTAATTCAGAGGTGTATCTGAAGTTTCTTCAGAATTAGCTCATGGATATAATACCATTGGATGTGCGCCAGCTGTTTCAAGAAAATATGTTTTTTGAACATGATGGCGCCCCTGCACATTTTGGACGCAATGTTCGAAATTGGTTGAATGTCAATTTTCCAGACAGGTGGTTAGGCCGAGGAGGTCCTATAGCGTGGCCGCCACGTTCATCTGACCTAAATCCATTGGATTTCTATTTTTGGGGGTCATTAAAAGACCTAGTTTGCTCGGCTGCAAATGAAATAAGAAGAAAAAGGTTTTCCACTTTTCGGGCTACGCAATCGTCGAGCGAGACTCTGTATCCAACAAAATGGGAATTTATTTAAACACTTATTGTAAAGCTAGTTTTAAGTATATCCAACTGTATGTCTTCTTTTTTAAACAAATTTCAATTTCGTTCGTAGAAAAAATGTATTTCTTTTGTTTTTGCCTATGTTCCAATAGACATATATATTTATTGAATTTCAAAAATAGAATCACACAAAAATTTTGGGGCTAAAATAACCTGAGTCCGTCGCTGTTACATACGCTTCCAAACAAAACTGTCTAAAATTGTTAATATTTTTAAATCCAGCATAAAAAACTAGGCTAGAATACCAAATTGTATGTCTTTATCTCAACACGTTTCGGAAATATTAAGAAAAAACCATCTTCAGGGGAGCCCCTTTAAAAGACAGTAGCGCCCTTAGGGGACGTTTGTCGACCTATGTTTATATAAACTTTTCTTCCTATTTTAATCTCTAGAAACCGCTGGTAGAATATTGTATACTTTTTTCGGGACACCCTGTAGAAGAGAAAAGGAAGATAAAGATAATTCGCGAAGTAACAGGCGGACTGAAAAGGTGGCTATGGTAGTTCTCCAGAAATACCTTCCAACACCTGATATACATAACTCACAAAGCTTTTATTGCTTAAAACTTTCTTACAGCTCACGATGCTACGGAAGAAAATGCTAATTGTTTAATGTGGGACGAGACTATTTCAGATCTAGGAGGTAACGAGGTTGCTTTCTGCCTAGTAAAGTGGGTATAAACGAATGTTTCAAAAAATATAGAACCGGAACATACTTGTTGTCATGCCCTACTTCTGGTAGGTAATTAAGAACATTAACCATAAATTTCTTGCACGAAGACATACTCACTTAAAGGCTGACGGTGATCATGGCATCATTGAAAGAGAAAGAAAGAAATTAAGTCAGTTTAAAATAATAACGACCTGGGACTGGCAACAGCTTATCCGCCTATGTGGAACAAAAATGAAATGTAATGCCATTGATATGACAGCAGACGATTTCACGAATTTTAAAGGACTATTTGAAGGTTCAACAGCGCCTTTTGTCTCACAAAAAAAACTGTGGAAGGATCCGACTTTCTTATTTCAAATACCGTATACCTACGAAATCTTGTCGTGGCTTTCGAATCGTTGCAACAATCGACTCATTATTTAAGTAAAACGTTTTAACAATACGGACGCGTTGTGGGATCGTATAGCGGTCCATGATGAATTGGAGACATGTGCCTTAAACAGCTACTACGGCGCCACCTACTTAAATGCGTGTATCAAAAATCAGTCAGTTATATATTGGCCGATTAAATTAGGTTTTTTTTATGGTGACTCTATCGCAACAGGGACGATTAACAAAAACTGTCACTATTTTCTATCTGTAATAGAGGACCAAGAGTTACCTGACGAATGCCACAAAAATGTACCTTCTATGTTATTTCTAAAAATGATTCCTCCATTTGAAGTTTTTGCGCGATTACAATACTTACCTGGCCGATTGACTTGGCTGAAAAAATGAGCACCCTCTTTGAATTTTGAGGCATACGTACGCCCAAAAAATAAGTACCTATATATAATTTGCAATATAGCAAATATTTGTCGTATATTATCTCAAGTATTGCTTTCAAGTATTGCAAACTACCAAATTATTACTTAAAAAAGCATGTCGGGTGATATTTGCTTGGATTTTTCGAAAAAGTATTCCTAGTAGTTTTTCCATTATCAAATCGTCGCAGAAGACTCTATTATTCCGAAACTATTGTGTCAAAATTTAGTGGGTGTTTAGATCTCACCAAAACAAACGTTTTTTAGTTATAAACCCATACCTATGCGCATGCGCATTGTTTTGATAGTACAGGCACAGATTATCATTATACAGATGCGACACCTGCTGTCGGTCCCTTTGATCTTCGTATCCCCAACTACCTATCACATGTCCCGCTTACATTCATTTGCGTCCGGAGGATTTTTTCCTAGGGGTGGTCACGCGTTATTAGCCTGACGTCACGAATGTCATATGTCAAGCTACAGAACGAAGAAATTTGTGTTTATTTCACAAGTGCATTTAGGCCAGACCCTGTATAATTGGATCAAACAATGGAATACATACACACATATAACGCATATAGAAAGAATAATATCAAAAAAAATGTTGGTGCCCCCTGTTTTGAGCTGGGTACGCCCTTGGGTCAAGGGACTTTTCAGTTTTCCAGTTTTTTGCTTCCTTCAGAAAGCAAACGAGGGTAAGTCTGTAGGTCCAGACTTCTGGACTAGGCCACTTCGTCTGAGAGGTAGCAATGCTGATGCCCAAAGGCGATCGTCGACAGCTAGGTGATTGATGTCGCTAGTATACGTATGCTTATTTTCACGTAGGCATGGCTTTCACTTGGATCGCTAATAGCATATACGAGTAGGTACATGCTTCCTGCAACGCCCAATTTGGGTCGGTAGATCCCGTCCCCAAATCCGACGTTCTTGGAACGTTCGTGGAACGTTCCAATCAGTTGGTTCCGGAGACATCCTTGGCGACGCATTTTTGGGCTTCACCCGCCTAAACGTTGCCAGACTAAAGCCGCGTTCTCATTAGTCAATTTTATTGATCAATAAAAATGAATCTATGCGATTGAAGTGAAACATATTCTAATGTGAACATCCGTTCAACCATATTGCGATTTGCACAGTGTGATCAAATTTACCATTCAATTCTATGTTCAATGGCATAGATTCATTATTACTGATCAATACGATTGACTAATAAGAACCCGCCTTTACTAGCTTACAAATTATTGCACTTATAGATTGTCGCCCCCTGAAGATATCGAGACAAGGGGGACTGTAAAAACTGCTTCTATTATCAATAATATAAAATATTTTTTTTTATAATATTGTAGAAGTATATCTTTTAAAGCACATTCTTAAGGGCGCACATGTATCATAGATGGCGCTGTAGCTATATGCTATATAGTTGCCTACAGCGCCATGTACTTTAACCTTTTCAAAATATTTCTAATATATATCTAATATATTTCTAATTAGTGTGTAGGAGAGAGTGACAAATTCTCATGATTACGCTACGGATGACCTTCAACTACGGATCATTTTTCGGAATTCAGAGTGACAAGTCTATCACTCCCAGTGAGCTGTAAAAGGAAGACTAGCAGCGATTTCCTCTCTGACGAGGGACCTAAAGGTTATCACTGCTTGGGGACGCAACAATCTGGTACAGTTTAATACTCCCAAAACACAGCTCTGTACCTTGACGAACAGCGTCCTAGCACTCATCCGGTTTCGGCGGATGGCGGAGTTCTGTTAAGACGCCATTCATTGCGGCTGATCGGAGTCCAGATCACCTAGGACTTGATCTGAACACATCTCATCAATAGCGACAGCTGCTGTGAAAAAACTAAGCTATTCGTTTACGGATAAGAAGTACTTTTCTCCATATAGCTTCCTCACTCTATACAAGGCCCAGATAAGACCTATCCTCGAGTATTGCTCACATGTTCGGGGTGCTGCCGCCCCAACTACAACCATGCTCGATGCTATTCAGAGGAGGGCTGTCCGACTGATCGATTTAGCTATCTTCTACCGCTACACCAACGGCCTTTGCTCCTCAGAGATTTCCTCCATGATGCCGTCGCGCAATATGCCTGCCATACAGACCCGCCTGACTTCGGCCTCCCATCCAGAACAGGCCGATACGACCGCTCCTTTGTCTTTACGGTGTAGAGATTGTGGAACAATCTAAGACAGTTTCCAGTTCTACTAACCTTCTCCAATGCAAAAATCGGATTCACAAAGTTTCCTCATAGCAACCGCGGTGCCCTAGCATTTAGGCTTCTGCATCGGATGATTGTCGGACTTGTAGTAATCGCATTCCACAATTTTTTGAAAACATTACGTGAACTCTCTTACATTACAGAAAAATACCGTCAAAAGTCTGGTCTCGTCTCAAGTTACGTTTCAGTTAATAGTTCATTCTGTCATAGAAATATCCCAAAAAAAAACTGTGCGTGGGACGTTCAAAGTCAACATGGAACATTTTTTCAATCTTGCAGCTTCTTTTTGGCGCTGGTGGTTAGAAAGAGAAACAAAATTTCGTCCATAAATAAAATGTTTTATTTGGTACAATATCACATTTGATAACCTAAAAAACTTACACAATGTTATCAGTTAATAAAATTAAAATATATATTCATTATATAGCCAGTGTGTGAGGAACTAACATAAATACTGATTTTGCTTGTTCATTACATACATTTCTACTGTAAATGCTTGTTTCATAATTTGTGATGACGATTTTTTTTAAATTATACTAAAATAAGGTTGTTAAAATGGAGTTGAGGTAAATTCTACCTGATTTTTTACGTTTTTAAAACACTCCTAAGGAAACAATTATAAATTCATTTTAACTAACTCTGTGATTCACGGCAGTACTTATGGCAAGAGTTATTTAACTATTATTCAGGTGCTTCAGCCTGACCTCGTCCATCTTGGCCCAGTCTACCTTAGCGTGAGGATACGGGTCATGGTGGTCTTTGATTATCCAGAACTGATCTATTATTGCGCCTTGCTTGTCATCCGAAACCTGAAAATAGCATGTAAACACATTGACATTCGATCGGACCAAACACAACATATGAGTGGGATCGAACACAACGCCGGAGTCTGACCGAACAGTGAACGCATGAATTGTAATTGAGCGCAGCAACCTAACAGATATAGGATCCCATACACGTTAATATACGAATTTAGATATAGATGACCACACACTATACAGGGTGACTTCGAAGTTGAGTCATTTATTTTAACAGTGAGTAGATCTGATCAAAAGAAATGTTTTTTTCCTTTACCATTTTTCTGGTAAAATTAAAGTAACAAAGTTATAGCCCTTTGGAAGTTTGAGTACCGCCCTGTCTCAATAATGATATTATGTTCTCGTGTTTGGCAACAACAGATATAATCCGCCTTATCCGTTCATCGCATCGGAAACAAAAAAGCGAAAGAATTTGGAACGATCTTTTTACAATTATTTTCTTCAGTTGTATACAGTCAGTATCAGTCGGTAGTCGGTAACGCGTAAGTGAATAATCGTGTCTGTTGCGAGGCTCAAATCAAAAATGGCACATGTTTACGAAAATGCTGAACTTGTGGACATGGTTCTTATTTACGGGGAGTCTTTACAAAATGCTGCCGCGGCATCACGGATCTATGCGGATCGGTTTCCCAATCGAGTGCAACCAACCCCTCGTGCCTTTGTTAATGTAGTGCAAAGAGCTCGTGAATCAGGTGACTTAAGACCTCACAGAGGAGATCATGCCGGTGCTCCAAGACCACACGATCAAATAGAACTAGAAGAACAAATTTTAGAATTAGTAAGTGATGATCCAACAGTAAGCACCCGACAAATTTCAACTCAATTGGCGATTAGTCAGTATAAAACTTGGAAAACTCTACGTGAAAATCAGTTCTATCCGTTTCACATACAAAAAGTGCATGCCTTACAACCGGAAGATCATGAACAAAGGGTTGACTTTTGCAATTGGCTTTTAAATAAACATCAAAATGATGACAATTTTTTAAATCAAATTTTAGTGAGTGATGAAGCCCTCTTTACTAGAAACGGAATTATTAATTCACGTAATTCTCACGTTTGGGCTATTGAAAATCCCCATGAAATAAGGGAAACCAATTTTCAACAGCGATTTGAACCAATCAACCTGTGGGCGGGAATTGTTAATGGAATTTTAGTGGGGCCTTTTGAATTACCAAATCGCTTAACTGGTGAAAATTATTTTGATTTCTTGCAACACAATTTGCCTGGTTTACTGGAAGATGTGCCTTTAAATATTAGACAAAACATGTGGTTTTTACAAGATGGGGCACCACCCCATTATGCAAGAAATGTGCGTGAATTTTTAAATAGACAATTTAATAATCGTTGGATCGGCCGTGGCGGTTTTGTACCTTGGCCGCCAAGGTCTCCGGACTTAAATCCTTTAGACTTTTGTTTGTGGGGTTGGCTAAAAACTCTAGTGTATAAAACACCGGTTAATACACGCGAAGAATTACGTGCTCGAATTGAGGAAATGAGTACAGTGATCAGAAATCAACCAGTGATTTTATTGCGTGCTTGTAAAGAGACATGGCTAAGACGCGCCCAGCTGTGCGTCGAGCAAAACGGAAATCATTTCGAACAGTTTTTGTGACATGCTTTTGGGCGCACAGGTCCGCACTGAAATACTTGTCGGGAGGATACTTTATAAAACAAGGTAACATTTTTTTTTTAATTTTTTTTTATTTTTACAAACATATTTTGGTTTATCTTCCTTCTACAATCATTATCTGAAAATTAATGACTCAACTTCAAAGTCACCCTGTATATCATGATGTACGTATAGGATTTTTTCCGTATGATTACCTGTTCCAGATGCAAATGCGTGGCGTTATACCCCTTCAGCCTAGTGTATCCATAGTCCCTACTGATCAGGGCTGACCAAGGCGGCCTAGCGACAGTGAAATTTTCTCTGCCCTCTTTGCAACCTGCAGACCCTGTGACCAGATGTACAGGCGCCCGGGGATTCACGTAAGGGTCTTCGTAACTGCCATTATATACTGTGTAGTTGTAGATGGGCCATAATCGTTCGTAAGAATGTTCGTGAGCCCAAATTTCCAGATCCACACCTAAAACATTGACGAATATAAGAAATAAGAATATGGTTGCTAACAATGCAGACTTATTACAAAAATAACTGAAACTTCTCAAGGCTATTTGCAACTGAAGCATTATAGATACTTCTCAATAATTGCACTAACCATAATTGTAGAGCAACTCCTCCAACCCAAAGAAATGTAGAAAAGGCAGTCCAACTCTTGTCAAGGTTTCATGGTGTGTACAATCGTCAGAATTGAGATTTGAGCAGTACATGGGTCTGTGGCCCATCACAATGATCCACGGTTGCTTGGCTCGATTTTGAGGCAGATTTGCTGTGGCCAGATCATCTTCAAGCCACTGGTATTGGAACACTAATGGCTTCAGACCATAGTTCATAAAATAGTAGAGTTCTGTTGAGATTGATATGATATGCATTGGGCCGATGTTGAAGCTGTACATGTATGATTCTATGCCTCCTGGCATACTGAATCGCTCTCTGTAGTTACTGAAATTACTGAAAGAAAGATTATATTTTATAATGAGTTTGTGGACCGAGTTCGTAAAATAAAAGTCGTCTAAACCAAAAACAGAAATAAACAAAGAAATAATAATTGCAAAAATAATAGTTTCCTCTTAGAATAGGTCGAGAAGTAAGCCATTATGGATTGAGGCTATACTAAGGCACACAGCGCCAAGTGATACACGGTGCGGCAGAGAGGACGTACGTTTTTGGGATGGGTAGTACTCTCCGCCTCCGTCTACGAGAGAGGTGGGGAGGGAGCCGTTTGACTCGTGAGATCCTAGCATTTTGTCGTTATGGAGCCTTTGACGGTGGAGCACCGCGTTATCGCCTATGATTGTTTCGTCCGAAATAATGAGTCAGTCATCGTCGTACAGCGTGAGTTTCGTCGCCTCTTCAACATTCATCGGAATGGAGATGTTCCCTCTCGAAACACCATCCTTCGTTGGGTTGAATCACTTCGCAGGCGTGGTGAACGATATGCGATTTTTTCTTATGGGGACACCTCAAGGCTAGAGTATACGCGAACAAGCCCCGAACTCTGGACGAATTGAAGGGCGAAATTGGCGTGGAAGTCGCCCAAGTTGAGAGAGCGATGTTGGAGAGAGTCTACGCGAACTTCCAAGAACGCCTCCAGCACTGCATCAACGATTTCGGCCACCACATGCCTGATGTGATTTTCCACACTTGACTGTCTCAAATGCTATTTCCTTGTGAACCTGATTCCATCAATAAATTTGTTTTCGAGTAAAAATTAACTATTTTATGATTTTTTTAAAACCGTCCATCCTCTCTGCCGCGCCCTGTATAATGCGCAAAATCGGCAATTGCAGTCTCAAATAATGTACGAGGTCTGTAAATTAAGTAATCAGACTGACAACGTAGCGTTCGATCTGGCAACACTGGAGGCGCCGGGCTTGGAAGGGAGATAGGGGAACATGTGATTCTCCTTCAGTACAAGTTTGAACTCGCTCGAGTCATTTGGTTGTCCATAGCGATTTTGGTTTTGCTTCAGACTTGGTCACAGTGCAACGGTTTTTCGGTAGTTTAAGGGAGAGAGTCGACTGAAGAATGAACCATGAAGGGGAAGACCTACATCTTCAAAAACCGAAGAAAATATAGACAGGATCCGGGATCTTATGCGTTCAGATCGTCGGTTGACAGAGGTAAATTTGACTCACACCACCGTTCATCAGATCGAGAACAACTGGGTGTAGCATCACAATAATGCTCCTCGTCACACAGCAATGTCAATAAACGAGTTGAAAAATCACCTATGGAACAGTCGAAAATATTCAAATGGCTGAACCAAGCTGCTGAAAGCTATTCCAGTATCAGAGTTTCAGCACTACTATGAAGGGTGGAAGAACCATCTCCAGTGCTGTGTGGCTCCAGAAGGAAGTCATTTTGAAGGTGATAATATATTGTATATATAATAATTGTAATTATATTTAAACAAAAAGATAATAAAAAATCAGTCTCTTCACTTAATTTACAGACCTCGTATGTGTAGAGTTTTTTCACCACATTCGATTTTATAAGAATGAAATATTCATTTTATAGTGTCATTATTATATATTATTTTAAAATATAAAATTTAGTTGTCAATCTGAAACAGTGAAGTTAGCATGATATATATGACAATTATTATTTACCTAGGGTTTTTCCCTACTTTTTTTTCTCCCTGACTTTGTTTGGTATCTGGGCAACCAGACCTGACAGACCTACTAACTTACACGACTTCAACCAAGAGCAAAGGTCCTATGGACCGCTCTGACAGACAATGAATAGAGAAGCTACTTTTCAATAGTAAAATCATCAAGCATCACAAAGAAAAGTGAAAACCTACTTTTCACAAAAAATCCACTAAGGTCGAGAATTCAATTCTCTACCATTATTTTATGTAAGGGAAAAGCATATGATGCATCTATTAGAAAAAGTACTACAGCTATGATAATATTCTGTAAGGATTAGTCACATAAAAAATCAACAACAATGAAAAATTCTTTCAGTGCAAATCAGGACATGACTAATAATACTGAGTAATTTTCATGACATAATTAAATTGTTAAACAAATGGTTACTTGGAGTTTTTTAATAGCTATGTGCTATTAAACATGTAGAAGCTTTTAAAAACATGATCCCTACTTACTATGCCTCTTCATGGTTACCAGGACATGTCATATAAGGTACATAAGCTGCTATGGACTGAATTTGTCTCATGAATTCATCACCCACCTCAGCATTTTCCTGAAAAAATGTTTGCTATGCAAACTGGTTCAAACTGATAACAGTCTAACATTCTGATAATTTACCGAATCCATGTCATAAGCAAAGTCTCCAACATGCAGGATAGTGTCGTACATGCCCCTCTGTGCCTCTTCTTGCAATCTCACCAAAGATTGGGCATTTTCATTGCCCATATCACCAAATAGTGCTATGTGAGGCACCCAGGCATCTGAATCAGGTGGAGTATTGAAAAAAAATATATCTGACCAGCCCAAGGTGCTACCACAATGGTACTCTGGAAGTCATATCAATAAAATATTGTATCAAGAGGAATCATTTTTTTATTGTAATACTATGTGTAAACATTCAGGTAAAAACCATGTCATTCTATGGATCTTTAAATATATTGTAAATAATTAGCCACTTATGTTTGTAGGCTATATTTGTCTATCTCTTGATAAATATACGTACCACTACATCATACAATGATTAGTCAAGTGTTTATTTTCAGTTTTAATTTCTTTGTACATCAGATGTATTATTGTTTTTAGCAATATAGCCATTTATTAGATTTGATCTTGCTAAAATTAGGAACTCTTCAGATTTAACCTGCATAAAACCAATTTATGAAAAAGAATCTGTTCACATTGTTAACTATGTTCCAGTTCAAATGTGGGTGACCATAAAATCAAGGTTTCACTTTTGCTCACCAAAACCTTGTATGTCTGCTTCCCAACTTAGTAGACATCAACATTCTGGAATTAAATTCTAGAATATTTACAGAGGCTTACCATATCTACTTCCTGGTTGCAAATCCTTCAAAATAACTCTATGTATGTACTGGAAATGTTTGTTAGCACCTCCATCAACAAACAATCTCTCAGATCCCTCTGCCCTCAGGATCATGCCCCTGATGCCATATTCGACAATTGAGCCATTTGTAGCGGAGAAAGTACTCCATGTCACCGCAATTTCGTAAAGGTTGCTTCCGTAGGATATGTGTACCTGCTCTGGTTGATAATACAAAATATCTGTCTTGATTCCACCGATAATCAGGACGAGGATAGAGTAGTAAAGTAGCTGCGAATTCATGGTGCGCTTCTAACAATGATTTGATGAAATGCTAGACAATACTTTAATAATTTATTGATTTATTCCTATTGATAAATCCCACCAATAAATTGAATTTTAAATGTTATCAGTGACAGTGATAGTTATGAGTATTTACATATCAATGCGGGTACCATCACTACCATCTATCTGTCAATAGTCTGACCAGAAATCCGAATACCCCGTTGACGTTCTTATGTAAAGATGTAGCAAGAACATAATAGGTTGATCCAGTTCATTCATTGACTCCTCGCTTGAGAAATTGCCGTACGGTGCTACGATTTATCGATGAATCTATTGATTGGTGATCAAGCATTACGTTAGCTCAATTAAACAAATTATCGGCCATTTCCTTTTCCCTTTGGAACGTTAAACAATGTGATAAATGTAATCAATCGAATCTTTTAGATTTGGTTTGATTTAGAGTTTCATTTGTGAGTACGCATCACTGCACCGTTTCTTCTAGAGCGCTATCTAGTTACTCGTAGTTAAACTGCGTTTACATTTTTCTGTAAGGATGAGACAACATATAAATTGATTCGGTTTATCTATCGCTGTTACCGATTCATTTCCATAAAAAGCTATCTTAGAGCTTAATTACTTGTGGATAGATCCCTAGTTATTACTTCTCCATGGCACCCCGAAGGAGGAGCCGTAGTCTCCCCCGCGAATCTGTTGGACTTTGTATATTTAGCATCATTTTATGTACAATAATGGAGATTTTTAGGATTTTCCATCCCCCTCCCATGAGAAAATTTGTTACCCTCCACCCTTTAAAATATTTTTGGGACAGGTACACTTTCACAAAAAGTTACCTCTCGTCGATGATAGCCCTCCCTGAGAAATATTTCTGTGGGCGCCCTTGGACACATTCACTTATATGCCGAGCCCGAGTCATATTCAAGAAATCTTTAATGAACATTCTAAAAATGTGCATTTGATAAACCTCTTACCTCTCTTAGGATCATTTATTCATCTAATGTCTTGAATGTATCTGTATGATTTCGGTTGTTCATCATTTATGAAAGCAACTAATCAACCCTCTGATAAAGCTTGCAATCCGGCACGGCTATTATGTAAAAAACCAATAAAACGTCATAAAAGAACGAAATGCTATCTTGCAGACTAGGTAGTTTTTAGGGTGCAAATAGTTCATTCCAAGTTTGCTCGCTGTGAGCGTCCATGTATGGAGGAATTACTCAACTACACGCATTGTTGGTTGCAGAAAGCAAGTACATGTTTTGTGAAGCCGAGTAGTCTGTAGTGTTTATCTCTGGCAAGATGTGAAAGAAAGAAAGTTGGCTAAGTAGCAAGATCGAATCTGGATGGTTATGTGTATTGGTCTGCATGTGTATAAAATCAATGATATTTGCTATGTGAGGAAATTATTTCTGAATATGCTGCCGGTAAAGTATATATCTTAGCCGCGACCGAAGGGTTATTCATATGTTATCCTTTCTGAATACAGGTTATGTTCAAAGTTATAAATTACGATTTTTTCCGTTCTGGTTTGTGTGTTTTCAAAAACTTTGAGGAGCATTACGGGAAATTTCCACCACGCCCGCGTTGTGTACAATTAAGCCACGTCACTAAAAAATTAGGAATGACGTATCACACTTCAAACATTTTCATATCTAGGCGCTGATCTGTGTTTTCTATTGACATCGCCAAATAAATGTCTATGATATTTAAATGAGCGGACATAAAAAATAATGTAATAAACTTTGATAAATATTCCTGTCTTTAGCATATTTTCTCACCTATTACTTCACCAATCATAAATTTTCTTATCTCATTCATTTTTGAATGGGAAGAATTAATAAGAAAAAGTGGATGCGCAAGTAATTCCTAGCTCTGAATCTCTAGTAAGTGTATTTGAGACAAGAAACCAATGGAATTATCATCATCACATATTATTAACACACAAATTCTCACTATGCGCCTATGCACTGCCGTTTTCTTCCAGCTATAGCATAGAACTGACAGCTGACAGCTTAAACCTCCAGTAATGCCATCGCCGAAACACGTGCTACATCACATCAGAGCTAGACATTGATAATTGAAGCATCATAACATTTAAGTAACACGTACAACTGCAAAACGAGTTCACAACAAGTGTCAATCAGCTAGTTCTAAGTTAACATCATATAAATCAAATCCAAGCGAATAACCAAAATTTCTGTGTTATGTGCCGCGGTTATAATATGGTTCAAGATGACACACGGGTTGATGACGTCAGTTACACGAATCGCTTGAACGCGTTGGTTTTAACCGCGGTTTTGTTGCAAGTTGTTTATTTTAGAAAAGCGCGTATATAATCTCTGATTATTTTTATTATCACTTAATAATCGGTGTTTTTTCGTCTACAACTGTATATGGAAAGTTTAAATAAGAAACGTTTCATAATATTCATGGGAGAAATGCCTTTTTCGGATTTTTTTTTTAATGATGGCACCATGGCTTTGTAGCTATGATAACTTTCAATTCTCTAAAATTTTCCGCATGTCAAAGAAAACATTTATTGATTCAGCAGAAATGATGAAAAAAGATATTAGCAAAACTGTAAACAGGTGGATATGATCTAGTGAGTTTATATGGCCATATTTTAATATTCTTGTGGTATATGGCTACACAGGATACTTTGTTAAGCATAGGAACTACATATAAAGTGTCCTCAACAACCGTAATGAGTATAACTAATAAGGTGCTCCACTTTATGGTAAAACTGAAGTCAGCCTGTATCATTTTTCTCAAAAATGAAGCTGAAGTACAATAACAATATCCAATACCCGGCAAATTTCTAACTTGTCACATTTCAAATAATAACCAGAAATATAAAACTACTCTTGAGTTGGGTAAATACCACAATTTTGCCGTGATAACTATGACATATAACAGCTGATTCGTGACGTCACGGATCTTATAACCAAACTGATAAATACACTCGCTTGAATGGATTGGTAAATAACAACCCAAAATGGTAAATACCATTTCCATTTGGTTATCCGCTTGAATTTGATTTTTGAAAATCCTACGTTGTGTCAAAAAAAACTACGTCATGTAAAAAATAACCGACCTAATGTCACTTTTCAGGATACAAAAATCTCCATTGATTATTTATTTAGATTCGGTTTCGATATGTTTTATTTCAAATACGCCCATCTCTATACTGTATCGGTGCATCTGTCAATTTGTCTTTCAAGAACGTCAGCGCCACCAACTGTCAAAATCTTTCATTTGGATACTTCAAAATGGGTAAGTACGTGCTGAACATATTTTGTACAAAATCTATTTCAATCATGGTAAATGAAACATATTAATACTTTTTCAGTATAGAGAATTTTACGATATACATAATTTTATTCATCTAAAGTGATATTTTCGCCTTGCATTAAAAAAACGGTTTGTTTTGATGAGTTAACCATACTTCCATCTTGGTTCTCACACATGATGATAAACTTGTTTAAAACGTCCGATGTGTTGTGCTGACGACTAACAAACATCCCACAGCGATCTGAACTAACATTTTACATCATAATTCATAAAGCGAATCTGTCGATTTTCGTTTAATGCAGGAATCTACTTGTAGGTATCAGCCGGGACCACTGGCATAAGCGGAGAGCCACAGGAGGCAAAAGGAAGCCTCTCCGTAAGAAGAGGAAGTTTGAGTTAGGCCGTCCAGCTGCCAACACTAAGCTCGGCCCCAGAAGGATACATTATGTCCGTACACGGGGAGGTAACCTCAAATACAGGGCTCTGAGGATAGACCAAGGAAACTTTGCTTGGGGTAGCGAAGGACAGGCCAGAAAGACGCGTATCATCGACGTTGTCTACAATGCTAGTAACAATGAGTTGGTACGTACCAAGACATTGGTAAAGAATGCCATTGTTGTTGTTGACGCTACTCCATTCAGGCAATGGTATGAAAACTACTATGCCATGCCTTTGGGAAGAAAGAAGGGCGCCAAATTGGTAAGTTTAACAGTGTTTTTTAAATATTGTTGCTAAGGTGGCTTTTTATAATTGATCAATAATTTTGTGTGTTGTAAGATTTAACCCAAAATTCTCACCATATCAGAGAATTTAAAATTATTTGTTATAATGATGATTACATGCGTGTCATATGAATTCACTTTGATTTAAATTATTGGCCTTAACTGACAAATAACTTTACATTAATATCACTTTTGAATTATATTATGGTATTTAATTTTTATTTGTTGTAGACTGCTGAAGAAGAGGAAATTATAAATAGGAAACGCAGTAAGAAAGTTCAGAAGAAATATGAGAATAGGCAAAAAACAGCTAAGGTTGAACCTGCTCTAGAAGAACAATTTCAGACAGGAAGATTATTAGGTAAGATTTCATTGAAAGTTATTCAAATAATTTAAGCATTTTTTTGACCTATATGTTGGTCTGAATTTGCTACTTAGTCTTTTACTATTAGTACCTATGTCAATGACATGAATAAAATATTGATTTCTTTTGTAAGTATGTTAACCATGATGAAAAACTTATAGCGAGTTTATCCTTGTTGGGCTATATTTGTTTTGAATATTAGCCTTGGTAGACAATGACATGCTGGTCATAGTTACTCTGATTCTATTTGAAACATATTTGCTTTATTTTGTATGGTGAAGGCCTTTCTTAGAAAGTTTTTTTTTTCAGCTTGTTTAGCATCAAGACCTGGCCAGTGTGGCAGAGCTGACGGTTATGTATTAGAAGGAAAGGAACTTGAGTTCTACATCCGTAAGATTAAGTCAAAGAAAGCAAAATAAAATGTTTTTATATGGTGTTAATAAAAAGTAACACTGTAGTTGTTTATATTGATTTGTTTCCCCAAGGCCCGTATCGTCAGTCGTCCCTACAATTGTAGGGCGCGTTTATGGCCTCATTGATTGTCATACTCTTTTCTCCTTCAAAAATTTCTAGATTACATTCGTCCGGTGTCAGCGTCAGCGCTCTCCTATTGTTAAGATATGTTTTCCTTTTAAATTGTAGGAAATTTCAGGCTGTTAAAACTCAAAAGCAAGCACAAATAGATGTTTGTGACATAACCTCAAAATAGAGCGCTGACACGGGGAAGTAGAAAACTATGACAATCAAGGCCATAAACGCGCCCTACAATTGTAAGGACGACTGACGATACGGGCCTAAGTAATCCCAATTCCTTTATAAAGAAATGACAAATTTTAAATTGTGTATACAAATTGCTTACAAAATTACAGGAGCACAAAGTGTAGAAAATAGCTCATTTGAAGGTCAACCCTTCCTTGCAAAATCATCATATTGAATTTTAAAATGTGCAGTCATGAATATGAGGTATTTGTAGGACTGCTCCTGATGCTAGAGTTTGAAGTAAATTCAAGTTTGCTAATACCTCTGATCACCTATGCAATCCCAATACCGCATTTCTAGTTAAAGATAATTGCACATTAGACCACCTTTTGAAATAAGGAACATTTGCTACCAGGATGACAGAAATGTCATGGGAATATGATCAGCTCTTGATTGCAGAATTGGCGAGTAAACAATTTTTGGCGATCATAGCTCTCGTCACCTCTGATCCTGATACAGAATTTTGTAGTCAAATATCTCTAATCTGATCACTTTCCGTGTAAAATTTTAACAGAAACGCGAAGTGGTGTGGAAACGTAGCCTGCTCCTGATATAGAATTGCTGTAAAATCCAAATTCTTGGCGAGCATACCACTTCTGCGATCCCGATACAAAATGTCTAGTTGCTGCTGATTATTGTAGCTGATCACCTCCCATGAAAAATTGTAAAAATGAGTGGATACAAATTTGTTATCAGGATCACAGAAACACGAAGAGGTGTGGAAACGTACTATGCTCCTGATACCAGAATTGGCGGGAAATGCATATTAGCGAACATACCTCTGCGATCCTGATACAGAATTTCTAATGGCTGAATATCGTAGATCTGATCACCTCCCTTGCAAAAATCAACAGGTAACAATTTGCTACCAGGATCATAGAACGGCGAGGAGGTTTGGAAAATGTGTTTTGCTCTTGGTTTCAAAATTGGCGGGAAATCCAAATTTTAGAAGAGTATACCTCTTATCACTTATGTGATCCTGATACAGAATTTCTAGTCGCTGAATATTGAAAAATCTGAGCACCTTTCGTGCAAACTCGTAAAATTGGATCGATACAAATTTTTTGTCAGGATCACAGAAACATAAGGAGGTATGGAAAATGCGAGTATATCTCTTATCACTTCTAGTGGGTGAATATTGAAAATCTGACCACCTTTCGTGCAAACTCGTGAAAATGGAGTGATAAAATTTGTCTATCAGGCTCGCAGAAACGCGAAGTATGTATGAAAATGTGTTCCGCTCGTGATATCAGAATTGGCGGGAAAAACAAATTTCTAGAGTATCCCTGCCCTTATTTCTACGATCCTAATCCAGGTTTTTAGTGACCGACTAGCGCGTATGAGATCACATTCCCTTGCAAAAATCATCAAATTGAATGGGTAAAGAATGCAGGACTACAGAAACGCGATGAGCTATAGAAAAGGTATTTTGCGCCTGATATAGAACAGGCGAAAAATTCAAGATTCCATTGATCTCTGGTCAATTTACTTCATCAGCGATGGAAGTAAAATAAAAACAGCATAGTAATAATGGAAATAAATTTTATTTACTATAAATATTTTCAAAACTGATACATAAAAAATAAATATATGTATATGTCGTTAAAATTAATACACGTAGTTACACAAAATTGGAATAATCACATAGGATCAGGGCTTCAAAAAATTGTTTATCCATAAGTATAATTCACTTTTTAGGTTTCTATAATTATGGTGTGATTTGTGACTGATCTCTCACAACACCTAGGCATCATTTGGTGCCAACAATACACAGAATTTTTCATGTTGCTTCTCTGAACATATTGAACAGAATTATGATATTTTTTAAAAATTACATAAATTACATTTCAACAGTAGTTACCTTTTGGACGAAACCATTAAAAAAACAAAATATATAGATAAAACGTTTGATATCTGCAAGTGAAAATTAGTATGGAGGAGGTTGATGATAGGGGTTTGGATTCATTTGTTGTCGTTGCAGATGCGCTACTAGAGCTGGAGAAGTACCCTGAGGTCCTCCTTGCTGCTGTTGTTGTTGTTGCTGTTGCAGTGCCATGAATCTCATCCTCTGCTGTTGTTGTTGCTGGAACTGTGACTGATTTTGCACGTTCGGCTGCATTCCTGTAAAAGACAGCTTTCTTAGAAGATACAATTCGCACTGCCATAACAGCAATTTCAATACTGCTGTAACTGTAATATAATTATATTGACATATACAAATGTGGCTTAGTTAGTGTGTATTAAAATACTTTGTTATCTACCTGTATTCCCACCAGTAATTGGTATATCTGATAGTGGTGTAAAAATAAATACCACATGTATCTCTGACCAAATATCAACACCGAGTGAGTCGCCGTATCACTACTCTGGTATAAATGTATGTTCTTGAAAAAAAGGCTCGGCATGATATATCATAGTAGGAGTAAACTAGGACGCCCTCCCAAAAATATTAAACTTTCCATGACATTTCGAATTACTTAACACACCTTGTCCCGCTGGTCCCCTGGAATACGGCGGCGCTGGGGGGCCGCCTTGTCCACCCATTCCTGGCATACCTGCCATCCCTGCATTCATAGTGACGTTAGGGGCCTGCTGCATATAGGGCGGTCGTTGCTGTCCCATCGCTTGTCTGTAATTAAGGATATCATTGCATTCTCTAAATAACTTCATACTAAATTAGAAAGGTAGAGCGTCGACACTCCTGTCTGATGCCACTACGACCCATATCGAGATTGTTTTCAACTAGTTGAACATATTACAACGCGGATGTGACATAGAGTAGAGACTCGGAAATTTAATTATGGATCGTTTTACAATGGAGAAACGCACTGGAATTGGGTTAAGGTACTATGAAAGTTCACTCTAATTTTTTATAAAAATTCCGATGATGGAACGGTAAATGTTCACTGCGAGAGAATACATGGATCTTTCTTGGTCTTCAATAGACTATTGTTTAACTACCTCTATATTAAGAATATCTTCTTTCAACATGAGTGATACGAATGGTGCAAGTTTCGATGTGTTAAGACCGTCTGTCACGATACGAAACTGTATTCACAATTCAGTTATAAATTTTTGCCAAAACATGTTATTTTACTGAGTTTGGTTCTCTATTCTTTTAAGTGACGATCCTGTCCGACATAAAAATAAATTTTTGTAATAAACTTTGTACGAAATCGAACGCAGAAAAACTCTTTTCATCCATTTTTGTGCGATTTCGGTCAAATGTATTCTTTTCTGAGTTGCCATTAGCTCAGTCGTTATCATTGTTTGGTCCTGTTACTTATTGCTTATCCAAACTGGGTTTCAAATAAATATCGCCTTTTGAGGCCTTTGTACAGTCAAAATAAGCAGTGTGTTTCTAAGCAATTTTAAAATGATTAAGAACAGATTCTAAAAAATATTGTATATCCACATATTGTATCCACATAATTATGTATAGAATGCTGTCTTACGCTATTCTTAATTTTGCATGGAATTTAGTCAAGTAACAGGCAGCTTGTACACTCATGATGGCTGCGGGACTCCTTGCTTGCGAGATAATACAACCTGACAACGCCCTCACATTTTTTCTGTGGATTCTTGAGGGATAAAGTCGACTTAAACAATCCGCAGACGATCAATGACAAAACCTGATGAGCTCTCTACAGACTTGTAGTACGACCTTTCAATCAAATCATCTGTTGACATTTCCCAGTGTTTTTATACTTGAGGCATGTTTATTCTTAAAAAATAATTATAAGTTTACATACATTGAGGACCAGCAAAAATGCAACCTTCACAACAATAAAGACATATGTATTGCTAATTTTAATCTGACCGCTTATCGTAAAAGCCCTGAGTATATGTGTGCCGCTATTATACAATCATCTACCTAATGATATTAAAACCTTAGTTGCTGCTAAGCCTTTTTAAAAACGTGTGCAAGCATTTTTGGTAGAAAAATGCTATTATTCTGTTAATGACTTTGTATCGATTTTGTCGTAACTTTGTTTCATTGTATTCAATGTATTTTGACGTTTCATATCCGCGAGGCTGACATGAATAAAAGTTATTGTTATTATCAAAACATATGAAGTTATCGGAAAAATTCGAGCCGCAATTGTACCAAAAGCTACTAAACATCTTAGTCAAGGAATGATCTGTAGAAACAACTGAGGAATTTTAAGAATACTATCTGTAAAACATAGCTCGCCGAGGCGGATCAAAAATGTCGTACACGATGCACTGTGTGTCTGCCGAGAAGAGGTGACGAGTGCCACAAACGGTTCCCGGGGTTCTAGAGGAAAAGACTTTTGTTTTGAGGATCACGACGCCCCTGCCCCCTCCTCTACAATTTTTATCAGGCGCAACGTTGTCCTAAAGTTTGCTCTGCCACGTATTCTCAACTATACCACTCTTTCTACAAGTGAGCATGAAATGCCATGAAAAACCTACATAATTTCAAAAGAAAACGACATAATGCCACTTTTCAAATTACGAAATTCCTCTGCTGAGCTCTCTAAAAAGTTTTGCTTCGTGCCCCGCATATATTTGATCCCATAAAAGAAATATTTTTCCAAAATTATTGGTGGTATTTCACAATGAAATATCAATGTACCTGTTGCGACATCGTTTATTTTAGTCAAATAGCGCAAGTTCTCAAAATCACGAATATATATGTTACCGGTAATCTGGACAATTCAGGTATTCTAAACATAACCTAGGCAATATTATGAATATTATTATCCATAACATTCTTTACCTAGGTAGTGGATACAATTCCTAGGGATTGTATAGAGTACCTACTGTTTCACCGGCAAAGTGTAAAATAAATAGATCTTGGTCTAATGTATCAATGTTAACCGGCATACCTATAAAATGACGGGCAAATGAAACAAGTTATATTATTTAAAATCAAATTTGGTAAAATTAACAATTAGATACTCATTGAAAATAAGAGTTATGAAGGGTACAAAAAAGGCACCTTTCTGTTACTGCAGTAAAATCACAGTAAAATTAACGTGAAACTAAAAATTATTCTGGCTATAAGTAACATAATGTAGTTTTCTTTGCTTACAAGTAAGCAACACGTTTATTGCCTGCCTGCCGGTATGTACAACCCGTTCCTTGCTCTCGTCTTCTACATACATTACCGACTGCGCATTCGGTATTGTATAGAATACCTAGGTAAAGTATAAAACAAATATTTCATACATTACCTACACTTTTTAGTTATTCTGTACATTACCTAGGAATTGTATAGAATACCGAATTATACAGATTGCCGGTAACATATATAATATATACAGGGTGTACCAATATTCCATGGAGATAGAAGACCACGTGTTTTTTTACTCAAAGAGATTATTTTTGCGTGCTTTTCTCGTGAATATGAAATATGTATTCTTTTGACTAACAGACTGATATGTTGTTAGTAGTCGGTTTCTGGGAAGGTAATTGCAAAGTTTAATCAACTTAAAATTTATGATAAACATCAAACAAGTTAACAACCAAAATAAAACTTAAACATTACTTATTAATTTAAACTTTATGAAGCTTGTTGTCAAAAATAATCTGACACTGACATAACATCCTACATTTCTGCCAACTAAATGCCTACTAGATTTTAACACTGGATGTAATGATATATTTTTCTAGAAACCAGCCCCGAAAAACATTTTTTCTCCAAAACTATGCGAGATAGACAAAAAAAATAATGTAAATAAAAGGTTCTTTTGAATAATAAAAAGTTAAGAGTCATTGGGAGAGTTGCGAAAAAATCTGCTATATTTTATATAGAGGTGGAAGTAGTTTTCATCTCTCTCAAATACTTTCGTTTTTTTTGTAAAGTTAAATATCAGGATGTCTAGCAAAACACGTGTGTTCCAAATTTCATTCAATTCTGACTATCGGATCCAATAATATCTGGAAAAATGTGTTTTACAAAGATAACTCTGAGTTCCTTTAACAAAGGACCTTTCCATATAGGTATAAATCATATCCAATCGACTTATGTTGTGTCTAAAAATAGAAGGTACTCCTATATCCACGGAATATTGAAACACCCTGTATAATATTTATTCACATCAATTATATTTATCCATATCAATTATAATATCATATCCATAGAATAATTCAAAAATATCCTTACCTGTAATCCGGCTGCCCACCAGCACCCGCGCCACCAGCCGCCCCTCTTGCCGTGACCTGCTGCCCGAAGCCGCCCTGATGCTGCGCCGCCCCTCCGGGTCCCGGTCCGCCGAACATACCCGCTTGTTGCTGCCCGCCAGCGCCTTGTATCATCGCCTGGCCGCCCGCACCTGCACCGTACCCCCCATAGCCGCCCTGAGGACCGCCGCCCATGCCACCCGCCGCAGCTGCTGCAGCTGCCGCGGCGGCCGCTTGCATCGAGCTGTATTGCTGGGCTAAGACGCCCTGGAAGGAGAACAGACATAGATTAGTTCTAGCTACGCTAGATAATTCTACTTGACAGTGTCCAAAATTGGCGAATTATGATATTATCGTCACTTGAAACTGCACTACTAGTTAAAACAAACGGTTCTTATAAGTGAACTAGTCCATTCCTCTAAAAACTCTTCTCGTTCACTACGAACGACTAGCATTCCAGTTTCCCGATGACCTCGAGAACTAATTGTGGGTGATCGAACAAGAACAAGATATGAGGCGGGACACACCACCGTAGGCGACCAAATAAGCAGAAGATTGTACAACTGGCTGCATGGATACGATCGTGGATCAGGTCACAAACATCGATGACGACCGAATGAAGTTATTAAAGAAGATAACAATAAATGCTTTTAGTTTGATTCAAAGGCTGGAAAATGTAAAAATTAGCTAAATGTTATACATTATATCACCCATTGAGGCTAATGAGGAAATTGAAACAATACTAAAATGAAAACATAAATTAACTACAAATTTCTAGATATAAATATAACGGGTGGGCCATCTATCGGTTTCGATTTGAACCACGTGTTAATTTGACGCTGACAATACTTATGTCAATCTGATTTGTCATAAAATTCAGTATATTATCTCCGCTGAACGAAATGAATCGATTTACGCTTGAGCAACGTTGGGTAATATTGGAAATTTATTTCCAAAACAAAGACAATTGGGCAGAAATTGCACGAAAATGCCGTTCAAAATTCGGTCGCAACGAAGCACCAACAGCGCCCGGTATACGCAAGTTTATTAATAAAGTGCGTGAAACTGGTTTCATTGTTGATGCTCCAACACGTCAGCGTGCTCGTACAGTGCGTACACCCGAAGGTATCGATGCTGTGGCTGCGAGTGTGCGTGAAAATCCATCAACGTCAACACGTCATCGTTCCCAAGAATTGAACATTTCCCGCACCAGTTTACGACGAATTTTGCGGAAAGATCTCGGTATGACGCCTTACAAAGTTCAATTGGTTCAAGAGTTGAAGCCGCGTGACCATCCACTTCGTTCTGCCTTCGCTACATGGGCCAACGAGCAACTAATCAATGATGTCGATTTTGCGAAAAAAATAATCTTTTCAGACGAAGCGCATTTTCATATTGGTGGCTACGTCAATAAGCAAAATTGCCGTATCTGGGGCTCGGAAAACCCACACGAGGTCTTAGAGAAGCCAATGCATCCCTTGCGAGTGACTGTTTGGTGTGGATTGTGGAGCGGAGGCATCATTGGCCCATATTTCTTTGAAGACGGGGACGGCGCAACCGTTTCTGTCAATGGAAACACCTATCGCACCATGATAACTGATTTTTTTGTTCCTGCTCTTGATGGTATTGATGTGGAGAATGTTTGGTTTCAGCAGGATGGTGCAACTTGTCACACATCGCATGCCACAATCAACTTATTGCGCGAAACCTTCGATGGCCGTTTAATCAGTCGAAATGGTGATGTCAATTGGCCGCCAAGAAGCTGCGATTTGACACCATTGGACTATTTCCTGTGGGGCGCTGTTAAAGACAAGTGTTATGTCGACCATCCAGAGACAATTGACCATTTGAAGGCCAACATTCGTGATGCCATTGACGAGATACGGCCCCAAACACTCGAAAAAGTGCTCGAAAATTGGTCCGATCGAATGGGCTACTGTGAGGCCAGCCGCGGCAGCCATTTGAATGAAGTAATATTTCATTTCTGAGCGGAACAATTGTACTTCAAAACAAAAAAATAAATTTGGCAATATCTCAAACCGTTTTTGTTTTATTTTATTTTTAAATCGAAACTTTTAAATGGCCCACCCATTATAACATATCATATATATTTTTTTGCAGTTTATCTGCTTCTAGTATATTCCTTCTTAGTCTGTGAAAAAAGCCGCTCACATGACACAGATGTTGCTATGAGACATAAATGTTTTTTAACAATCTCAAATAAGCTGCAAATTGCCTACCTCCAGGGTATACTGTTCCCGGTAATAGAGGTTCAATAAAATATTATATACATCATTATACAGCCTATAGCATAGAAGCGACCTCATGAACATTCAATTTATGCGGATATCCTATAATATGTATGGAAAATATAACCATCATGTTGTCGCTTTGCTGCTGTTGCGACCAATAGCCTACTTAGCTCTAAAAATGTCTAAATGTCGGTTATACCAAAATAAATATTAGGTGAGAATATTAATTTCATACATCACAGTCGACAAAGTATTCACGGAGCAAACCAGCAATAGTTTTCTATGCATATACAAGGGACGCTAGAAAAGAAAACTACCTAGTCATAAAACAAAAGACATTTTTTTATCATTATTATTTTTAAATATCAATGCACTTGCACCATTTCTCCTCCAGCGAACTTATATCCTTATAAAAAAATGTTTCCTCTTGACTCTCAAAAAAGTCGTCGGCGGCTGCTTTTACACCATCATCCGAGTCAAAATCGCGTCCTCGAAGATTTTTCATTCTCGATTGGGAAAATCTGGTCTTTAAATAATTTTTCAGCACGTTTGCATAGACTTCCGCATTCACTGTTGTCACTTCTGACATATATTCAATGAGAAGGATGATCGCCATGACTCAAAAAACTGTTTTCACCAATTCTTCAGCAGAGGGTTACGTCCATGCCTTTTTTGGGGGGTGGAGAGCCTTTATGAACCCACTGCTTGGATTGTACTTTTGTCTCACGATCCCAACGATGCACCCAAGTCTCATCGCCGGTCACAATTTGTACCAAAAAGTCAGAATGGTTGGTCAAAGTTTCCAAATGACTTTCCAATCTGCGCAATTTTTGTTTAGGTATCATCAGTCGTGGCTGACACTCCTTACTAATGTTCAAATTGTTGTGTAAGATTCTTATTACGCTGGGTCTCTGTATATACAATGGCATACTAATGGTACAGACCTTCACACGATCGAGAATCCTGGCTTCAACTTTTTGAGTAATTTCATCGTTTGTTGATGTTTTGGCTCTTATTTATATTATTTTTTCATGGTTAGGCCTTTTCTAGTCTTCCTCGTATGTATAAATAGATATAGATTGAACGGGGTGCATTTGATTTCCGTCTCTCTGTGGTCAACAAACATATCCAGTTCTATATATAATGTTGTGGTTGTCAGAATACAGCTATAAATTATATAAGAATCATAACTACACAATTTGCAGACTGCTTATAATGTTTGGAACATTTGATCTTCTTACCTGAGTTGGTTGCATAGAATTGGGATGGGGCTGCCGCAACGGCTGTCTTGGGAACCCTCGCTGCATTTGTCCGTAGTTGCCAGGTTGCTGTCCAGCATTTGGATTGTTCTGCATACCAGGCATGAAACTGTTTGGTGGATGTCTCGACCGTAACATATGAGACAAAGCTTGTTTTGAAGGATTGATTTGTTGAGCAGGACGATCGAATCGAGCTAGAAGATCAAGATAGTAACAAATTTCAAAAATGACAAAAAACTACAAATCAAAGAAAAGTTTTTGTGGTAATGTGCTGACAGAAACACCAAATATATTGAATACAGGGGTTTTTGCCTGCCAGTAGACAGAACTACGAAATCTAAGATGCTTGTGTCAAATTTCATTGAGTCCGTTTGAGAGTATCCGAAACATAGGGAAGCCGATCATTACCGAATAGAAACATGGAATTGAGTGACATGGTTTTTCGTGATAACCAATTCACAAAACAAAGTGTCAAAATCAATATTATTACCATAATTGAATTTTTTGTTAATATCTTGATTTTTATATTGATCCTATACCAAATTAAGTAGTCATACTTGATTGTTGGACTTTCTATTGCAGGAACTCAAACTTTCCTATACTTGGAAATTATTTTCTACTGTTTAGTTCGATTTGCTATTACAGTTTTTTGAACCGTAATTCATTTTCTGAATTATGGTTTAACTTATAATCAAGAACTATTTTTGGTGAATTTTTGGTTGGCAATAAATATAAATTTGTATGCGATTTTTTCAAATTTCGGAAATTCCAATTTTTTTCAAATTTTCCAAATCTTCAAATTATTTTAAAATTCTCAAATCCATTTTTCCAAATATCAAAATTCGTTTTTCTATTTTCGATTTGTTTCAAGATTTTCGTTTTGTCATCTACCTTTGATCCCTATGCAAATTTTCAAGTTAATCAGACTTCTTGAAAATTGATGAAAATTAGGTTAAAAAATTCCGTTACATACATACAGGTCAAGCTAATAAGCGTAATAAAAATTAACTTACCACCCATAGGTGGATAGTACCCTCCCGGTCCCGGCTGCGGATTCCCGGCCCCCGCCCCGTACCATCCCTGTTGCGTCGCACCTGCTCCAGGGTACTGCTGCCCGGGCTGTTGGGGCTGCATAGGAGGCTGGCCATAGCCCATGGCAGCCGCGGCGGCTGCTGCAGCTGCTGCGGCTGCCGCATGTCCCATTTGGCCGCCCGGCGGGCCGCCGCCCATCGGTGGCTGCCCTTGGCCGCCCATCGGTTGGCCTTGACCGCCTAGAGCGGCTGCCATGGCTGCGGCGTGACCCATCGGACCTGCTCCTGAAATAGATAATAAAATCAGATAATAATAATGATAATATGGTACATGTTGCACTCTTAGGTCGTAAATCTTGAGTCATAAGCATGGAATTTCGAGTGATGAGATAAGTCATGAGTTTCGAGTCATATGTCAACAGTAAAGAGTCTTAAGTCATGAGTCTCAATTGACGGGTCAAGAGTCGTCGGTGTTAAGTTATGAATTATAAGTTTTGAGTCATTAGTCTTAACACATGAGACTCATATGTCATGATTAACGAGACTAGGTCCTTAAGTTTCTTAAGCCACAAAACAATAGCGTTAAGTCACGAGTCATGAGCTGTAACCCGTAAGTCTTAGACGTTGGGTCTTGTGACTCGAGTCTCAGATCGTAACTACTAGATCATAAACCTCATAAGTCAGACTTAGGTATTAGGACTCAAGTATTAAGTCTTCGATCCAAAGTCTTAGGTTTTGAATCTTAAGCATTGCTTCATAAGTCTGGAATCTTGAGACATGGCATTCATCATGAATATTAAGTCCTCAGTCTTAAATCACGAGTCTTAAGCACAGATGTCTCAAATGATGAGTAATAAGTCTTGAGCCATGAGTTTTGAGTCATTAGTCTTACGACATGAGTCACGAGTATTATGTAACGAGTAATGAGTGAAGAGTATTAAGTCGTGTTCCTTAGATCACGAGCGTTAAGTCACGAGTCATGAGTCCGAAGGCTTGAAACTTAGACCAAGTCTTACGTCTTCAATCATAGATCTCGAGTTTTAAGGTTTTCGTCTTGAATCTTGCGTCTTGAGCCTTAGATCTTGGATATCAAGTCATACGTGCTTATGTTTAGAGTCGTAAGTCTAAGATCTTAGGTTTAGTTTCAGTTTACCTGCTCCAGCGGCACCCGCAGCGTTCTTCGGCTTGCGCGGCTTACGCTGACCTTTGCCCCTTCCTTTCGCTGTACTTCCACTAGCACTACCAACGCTCCCACAACCTCCCATTGGGGACTGGTCTACTGAAGAAGGAGTGTCCACCTGAAAAACATTTATTTAGTATAATTATTTAGCTTCAATTTAACTTTTAAACAGCCTGTTGCTGAATGTTGTCAGGAAACTAAAGAGTAGATTTGCAAATAAACATAAAAATTGATATGCCACAGATTTTTGCAAAAATAAAAGTCGATTTCTCATAGCTAAATAGATTCTGCTTGAAAGGTGTCTCTTGAGAGTTTTTCATTTTGTTCGCGAAAAAAGTTCCAGCTTGATTACTATGCGTTAGCAATAATAAACAGATTGGTGTAATGACTAAAAAAATAAGCATCAATCAGTGCAACTTAATATCCAAAAAGTAATTCTGAAATTTTGTGCGAACACAATCCTTCCATACGAATGGACAAGTTTACAATTTTTTGTTATTACCTCAAATGAAAGTTTAAAAAAATGCATCAAGATGGTGAAAAAATTATTAATTTATCTCTAAAAACAAAAAAATTACAGCTCATCAAAGTTGTGCCTCACGAGAATATTTTTATTCGGTCTGTACGTTACGTGTGACGTCACACTTCAGTATCCAGTTGCAACGCCCGCGGCAGATTCCTGGGCCCGAGCCGACTCAATCTCCTAAATACATGCATAGGCACACCTACAGCGGGGCACATAGTAAACCTCTTCCGCCCCAATTTATTTGATTAGTTGACTGAATATACGATCGGTTATGAGCGAAATAAGCAAAACAGGTTGTTATAAATACTGTACCGTTCCAAAATGTACGAGTACAACCCCTAATAAAAAAAATTTCTACGTAACTTCACACGCGGCGTTCATAATGGTATGAACTTACGCAGTACTCAATAGTTATCAACTGGAAACCACGTATCCGGGCGCACAAGTTTGACTTATGAATTGTCTATAGACTAATGACTAAACGCACAGACGCTGTCGAACACCGACGAGACGCTGGGCAGTAGAGAAGTGTGACGTCAGACGCGAACGAACTGCAGCTATGATTTCGCGCTACAATGCGCCAAATTTAAGTATCAATTTCTATGTCATTTATTGGCCAATTTCAATAATGTTTTCACTGGCTGATTAGGATTGTCCATTAGGGACGCAGGAAAGTAAACGTCAATTTGACATAGACGCCATCTTTGTTTTCTGTCACCGACATGTCATTTTGTTAATTGAATGTTTACCATTGATCGCTATGGAGTCGTATTCGATTGAAGACCGGACTAAAGTTATTCAAGAGCACTACAAAAATGGTGCAAAAATAAAAAACACGTTTCGCGCGCTTCGTGAACATTTCGGTCGCAACAACCGCCCAAACGAAACAACTATCGGTCGTCTGGTGCGTAAATTCGAGTCAACAGGTTCTGTGGCAAATCTGCCAGGCTCTGGCCAGCCAAGGAGCGTTCGCACACCGGAAAATATTGCTGTTGTGAAGGAGAGTGTGAGAGACGATCCGAAACAATCAACAACGCGTCGATCCCAAGAATTGGGCATTTCGAGAACCAGTTTGCTCCGCATTCTCCACAATGATTTGAATGTACACGCCTACAAGATCCAATTGACGCAAGCTGCGTCGGGCCGACCATTTTTCGCGCCGAACGTTCTCAGATTGGCTCCTTGAACACCGCCAAATTGATGCCAATTTGTCATCAAAAATCATGTTCAGCGACGAAGCGCATTTCACGTTGAATGGGACGGTAAACAAGCAAAACTGCCGCATCTGGGCGAACGAAAAACCCCGTGAGTATCAAGAGCAGCCGATGCATCCTCAAAAAGTGACTTTGTGGTGTGCATTGTGGTTAAAAGGCATCATCGGACCTTACTTTTTCGAAAATGCGGCCGGGGACCCCGTTACCGTCAATTCTGAGCGATATCACGTGATGATAGAGGACTATTTTTTGCCGCAACTTGAAGGAATGGATATGGACGATCTTTATTTCCAACAAGACGGTGCAACATGCCACACACCAACGTCAATATCCATCGATTGCAGTCCTTCTTCGGTGATAGCATGATTTCGCGCAGAGGAAATGTGCCATGGCCACCAAGATCGTGCGATTTTGACTCCCTGGGACTTCTTTTTATGGGGATATTTGAAAAGCAAAGTCTACGTCAACAAACCAGCCACCCTCCAAGAACTCAAAAACAACATTGCCGAGATAAATGCCATAGAACCGACCATGTTGCAAAATATCATTGAAAATTTCGACCATCGCGTGGACGTCTGTAAATCCAGTCGTGGTGAACATTTGAGCGATATTATTTTTCATACATAAATGATATAAATGAACCTTCAAAATAAAGTACTCAACTTTATTTGAATATCAATCTTTCTTGTTTTAATATGCGTTTACTTTCCTGCGTCCGTTTTGGACAACCCCATATTTAGTCTATATTTTGCTGGTATTACTTATGCGATTCTGAATATCACGAAACTTCTTCATTGGCACTGAAAGTAACAAACGTTTCACAAACTGGTTTTAATTCCGAGACCACTCAAAATTCATAATAAAATAATTGTTACTATCACTCACGGGTTTATCAGGAATAGGTTCCAGGTCTTCAGGCGGCAAGGGTGGTGGGTCAAGATAATGCGCAGGTGGTTTCTGCATATTGTGCGTATGGAACTTGAGCAATCGGTGGGTGTCTTCACATGTGAGTGGTTTTCGTTCAAGCCGTACGGCGCCAAACCATGCCCATGATAAGGGCGCTGGGTTTTTCATACCTTCCAAGATGTCCCAGTTGCTCACTCGCTGCTTATCCGTCACCTACAACAAATTCCATCAAGATATTCAAATTATTCAATTTTGTTTTAATTTAAGATGAGCCTATTGAAACTTTCAAGTCAAGGGCAATGAGCGAGTTTTTTGTCGTCTTTATTGTTCCGCGGCCAAATATCGTATGTGTTTCTTTGATTAATAGAGTCAAACACCTAAAATAATATGCAAAAAACTTCGCGCGAAGTAGTGTTTCTCAGATTTTGATCCTTAGGTTAGAGAAAGATGAGGTTTTTCTAGGATATAACTGGTGTAACATCTGATATAGACTGTAAAGCACAAATGTCATAGATGCACAGCCACATAGCAACATAGTTCTGTATATAAATGCTATTCTGCGCCGGTTTATACAGTGGCTATGGCTGCAGGAATATTTCCTAGGAGAACCAGTGAAAACATATGAATGTGCTGCCGAAATTCCTTGAACAGTTAAAACTGTTTCGCCCCTAAAACATTTTGAAGGGCGGGAGGAGACAAATTTTATCTGCATTGGTCAAATCCTAAAGATCCAACCAGAAGTTTTAAAATGCAATCTCATATTAGTTACGTGTTATATTAAATGATACTGACATTTTCGAGATAATACCTTGAGGAAAATAGCTCTGAAAGACAAAACAAAGATCTTTATTACTTGATCTACATGTTTGAATTATCATCACAATGTATCACAGTATCGTGTAGATATGGCATCGGGCATACAGACGTGTGCTCGATGCTCAGAGAATTTCACTGTGAATACCAAGAATATTTCTTGCGATTTTTGCAAAAAGTTGTTTCATCATCATTGTGCTGAGGTCGACAAGAAATTAGCTAAAGTTAAGCGTGAGTGCGGGAATCAAATGGTTCTGCAGCGATTGTCTTCCAATTATAAATGGCAAGCTGAAAATGGCAGATTTTGGGGAAGCAGTTTTTAATCGAATCCCTGAAAAATCTGAAGTTAGAATGGTGTGTGATTCACGGGCGTCAAGGAGCAGTGCTAGTGTGCCCGAAGGTGGTATAGCTGTATTGGAAAAAGAGATTGAGTGCCTGGTAAGAGAAACAAATTTGATCGATAAAGTCGCAAACGAGAGAGGATATATTGTGGAAATTCAGAAAAAACTCATAAATGACCTTGAAGATAAATTTCGAAGTCAGCCAGTGGGTAACAGCAGCAAAAACAAAGATTGTGTTTCGTACAGTGATATCGTAAAAAAAGAGGACCATTCGTATTTGTTGATTAATCCTTCAGTTCGTTCTACTTCGTACAAAACTGTCTAAAGTGATTTTAAATCTCGTTATTCGCCTGGTGCTCTTAATGTCAATATCACGACTAAACTCACCAAAAATGGTCTGACGATCAGAAGATGTGGAGACTTTAAAAGGTTCTCTAAAATCTGATTTAGGAAATAAATTCGATGTTTGTGAGCCTACCAAAATGTTTCCTAGAATTTTGATACAGGGTGTACCTAACGCCTGTTTCAAAAATCTTGGTCCGAATAAACTTGAATTTGTTGATAGTTTTGTTGACGATTTAATATTCAATAGTAATTTAGGTGTTAATTCAGATGATATAAAAATAATTAGTTGCTATAAGGTTAACAATACAAAAAATTTTGTTATCCAGGTGGTTCTTCCTGGGTTCAATTTACTTAGTAGCAAAGCGTTTGTTTTTATTGGCTGGGTGAGATGTACTGTGAGGGAAAATTTATATTTGCTACGTTGTTACAAATGTTGTAGGTTTGGCCATGGTAAGAAAGATTGCCGAAGCAAGAATGTTGTCTGGTCTAAGTGATCAGGTTTTCATGAATTTAGCGATTCTTGTTGTCCTAACTGTAAGTTTCATAATGATAGATATAAAACTAACTGGTGTAAAAAGCATGTTGCAAGTGATACCTCTTGCAGTTATTACAAAATGAAGATCGATAATTTGAAAATGCAGATTGCTTATGAATAATTGCAAAAATACTTATAACCATTTTGTTGTTGGACACCTGAATGTGAGATCTCTGTTTGCTGGCTTTGATTTCTTTGTAGATTTGTTGAGTACTGATAACTATGATATTATGGGTATCTCCGAAACATGGATTGATAATGATTTTACAGCAGATATAGTAAATATTCCTGAGTACACTTTTTTCCATACTGATCGAGTGGGACGTGGAGGAGGAGTTGGTGTTTATTTAAGGGATTCACTGAGAGGAAAGCTGGTATTTCAAGATTTTTTATGTCCAGGTGGTATGGAGCTGGTTTGTGCTGAAATAGTGTTGAATAATCTAAAAAATTGGTTTGTGTGATCTATCCTTCGAGCAGATTATCAAGTTTTATTGATCATATAGACAACTTTCTCTCATTTGTGTCTCCTCAGTACGATAATATATGCGTACTGGGTGATATAAACGTTGATCAACTTACTGACCATTTTTTTTTAGACGTGTTACACATCTCCCAACCAACTAAGATAACTTTATCCACGGCAACCTCCATAGATGTCATTTGTACAACTTAGTTGAATCATTAGTTTGAACTAGCCCTGCGCCTGTTCCGAATTTGTCAGATCATAATGTAGTCAGATGTGACGTCAACATTACACGACCTAAGAATTTTCAAAAAATTGTCAAATATAGAGACTTTAAACATTGTTGTAAAGATCAGTTTTTGGTGGATTTGCATAAAATCCCATGGGATGATATATATTACATCAGCAACTTAGAGGATAAAGCTACGTTTTTTCTAATCATATTTTGGATTTGATTGTCCATACTCCTATTGTTTCAGCACATTTTACTAAACCTTATGCTCCTTGGCTTGCAGGTGGCATAAAATTGTTGATCTCTAAAAGAGATAAAGCCTTCAGAAAGTATCAGATTTTAAAAAGTCCAGCTAGTCTCGAATATTACCAGAAATTAAGAAATGATGTCATTTTCGCTATTAGGCGTGAGAAAGTAGCATATCTGAGGTTCAGCGAACAACTGAATAGTAACAAGCATCTCTGGAAAGGTGTACATTAATGTAGATAAATCTTTACCTTCGCAGTATCGCAGTTGAAAAATGCCGATGAAGTCAACAATTATTTTTCTTCCGTTTTCACGCCTTCGGGCAATTGCAAGGATCTAGTTAATAAATTTAATAGTACCAAAATTAATGAAAGTGCTAGATTTGAATTTAGTTTTGCTACCCCACAAAATGTGCTACACATTATTCTGACCCTAAAATTTAATGCAGCAGGTTCGGATGGTATAACAGTCTCAATGCTGAAGCATTGCTTGCCTCGAGTACTACTACCCCTGACGCATTTATTGAACTGTTGTCTGAAGGCTGGGTATTTCCCTGATGCTTGGAATCTGTTGTCAAGCCCTTGCCTAAATGTAAAAATCCAAAATGTCTCTCAGACTTAAGACCTATAACTTTGATTCCTGTTATATCGAAGATATTGGAGAAATTGATTAAACATCAGGTTTATCATTATTTCTCTAATAATGATTTCTTTCCCACGTGCCAATCTGTTTTCCGCAGTGGTTTTAGTACGACTACAGCTTTAGCAAGGGTTTTAGATGACATCATTTCTTCGCTTGATAAGGGAGATGCTTCAGCACTTGTATCATTAAGGTGGCTACAAACACAACTGCAAGCTTGTCCAGCATGCTTATTCAATCTTTTTGTACAAGTATGCACAATTTGCCTTTGGCGCCACACGTACAAGCATGCTTGATAAAAATAGAGGTAGTTTAATTAAATATGTCGACAAGCTTGCAGTTGTGTCTGTAGAAACCTTTTAGATTATTCTAAGGCGTTCGATAAAATAGATCATGAGCTTTTATGTGTTAAATTGAAGTTTTTTGGTTTTTCAGACATACCTCTAATGTTTTTTATAACATATCTTTCAAATCGTAAACAAGTAGTAGAGATAGTCAATACTATATCTAGTCCGATTGATATAACATCAGGTGTCCCTCAGGGTTCAGTTTTAGGGCCTTTGTTGTACTTAATTTATACTATAGACTTGGGTAGCTCTGTGAAAAACTCTTCTATGATGTGCTATGCCGATGATACACAGATATATAAGAGCTTTAATAGCAACACTTTACATACTTCAATCAATGAGCTTAATGATGATTTGGAGGCAATAGTAGGATACTCAAATGGTAACAATCTTAAGCTCAATAAGGATAAGTGCTCAGTGATGCTTTTTTGTGCTGCTGTCAAACGTAACACTATATTGAAGGAGCGTCTAGGTGTCGTAAATACGAGTACTACAAAAAATTTAGGGTTGATTATTTATTATACTTTACGGTTTAAGGAGCATGTTTGGTCTTTTTAAAAAAAAATGTAATACAACTTTGATGTGTTTTTTTGACAATCGCTCTACTTTGAATTTTAGAGATAGAAAAAAGTTGTGAGGCTATTATACAGGGTGTCCCGAAAAAAGTGTGCAATATTCTACCACCGGTTTCTAGAGCTTAAAATAGGAAGAAAAGTTTGTATAAACATAGGTCGACAAACGTCCCCTAAGGGGGCTACAGTCTTTTAACGGGGCCCCTGAAGATGGTTTTTCCTTAATATTTCCGAAACGTGTTGAGATAAAGACATAAAATTTGGTATTCTAGCCTAGTTTTATATGCTGGATTTAAAAATATTAACAATTTTAGACAGTTTTGTTTGGAAGCGTATGTAACAGGGACGGACTCAGGTTATTTGAGCCCCAAAATTTTTGTGTGATTCTATTTTTGAAATTTAAATTTAGAATTTGATAATTTAGGGTTTTATACATAAAAAAGGTACTCTTATTGAATGTCGATAAATTGTGCCATTTTTGAATAAAATTAAACTAAAAAATTTGTCACATGATAGGAAATGTACTGCGAATTTAAATGAATTGTTGATTTTACATAGTTAGCCATGACTGCAAACAAGAGTTGTTTTGATTTGTTATGACTTATTTATTTATGACATTGTTGGCAGTGTAAAATTACTAGATTAAAATCAAAATTTTTATTAAATCGATTTAAAATGCC